AAATCTTGGCGCGCCTTCGGGCACAGGAGGAGGCTGGTAACTGCCTCTGTACCCATTGATCGGAGGAAGATCCTGTCCAATCGCGTCCTCGTAGCTCGGTGGGGCATCGTCATACGCAGGAGCATGCTGGGGTTGTATTGGCTGTCCAGAGAAGGCATTGGCACCATCAAAGCCTCCATGCGTTGGCGTCGTTGGAGTATGAGGACGAGGGGCCGCGTGGGGTGGCGGGGCAAGAGTTCCGGGCTTCTCTGCATTGAAACCAGCTTCCAAAAGAGCTTTGGGCGGAGCGATGCCTGAATAGACCTTGACTGGTAGTCTAAGTGGTAGAACGATGAGCTGATCTTCACCGTGCTTGTAGCTTCCATAACCGATGCCGACGCGTATCTCCAATTCGTAGAAACGCGCAAGGTTGCATGATGTGAAGCTGGGCGATACGGTGTTGGGCACCGGCTTTCCAGACCAGTACTCCGCATTGATGGGAACCTCCGTATCTACAGGGTCTTCCGGAGACCCAATTGGGATAGCCATATTACTGAAGGAGCACAATATCCAACTATTCGACTCCGTACGCGACACTTCGTGCGCACGTACCTTAGTGTATCCTATCAGCTCAATCTGGAGCATCTGTAGGTAAATGTTCTTTGTACGCGCGCTGACATTCTTCACGAGCAGTCTTAGTGGCACGTCTTGGTTGCTAGTAAGGATCGCAGGATTGGGCAATCGCGCATCGATCGCTACCCGAGGTGGTACACTGCCTGATGTCGGCGATGGCGGGATACTTCCCGTCGAGTTCTTTCTATCGAAGAAGCTCAGCCTTTTACCCGCTGCCACGCTCGGTGCATTCTCCAGAAACTCGTGTTGTCGCCTTGCATATGCCTCTCCGTCTGTCTTGTCTGGTCTCGGAGGTTCGATTGGGAGGAAAGTGAAGTTTGCTATCGCTCTCGGGTTCTCTTTGAAGAACTGTGGCCTATTCACTGTGACCTTGACATAGTATCGTATCTCGGCCTCCCCCGGGAAACCGCTTAGTGTAGGAGGAAGTGTCGCCTTGACGTGTTGTGTTGGTGTCTTTGCGAATTCGGGGATCGCGTTTGAGAAGGAAACATTAGAGATGGGATTGTTCGTCTGCTGACATTGCGTGTTCAGAGGCAGCTGCAAGCTCGATCAGCCATGAACAAAGTTCTCTACCTGTATTGTATCTCATACCTTGAACTGAAACGGATACTCAAAGGACCCAGCATTGATAGTGAAGGCCGCTTTCGAGTTCTGGGCGATGTCTTCGGGACGCACATTCGTCGGCCATACCACTTGTGTCTTGTACAAGAACTTGTGCACTTCTAGGACTGGTCTCTGCTTGTCTGGCCTGTTTGGATGTATGGGTGCCAGTAGCCTGGTCCTGCTCTCGCCTTCAAGCTTCACAACAATGCTGCTAATGTTGGTCGGATTCGGCACGCGCAAGAAGACCCTGCCTTGTATGACATCGAGATTGGTGTAGTGCTCGTGAGGATGCTCAAGCACTATGTTGACGATCATGTTAACGGTTCGCGCTCAGAATCTGTGGCTGGTATCTGGCTTCCAGGTCACACCTAGATAAACGGGTAGTCGCGAAGCTTGTGAAGGTGAGTCGACATCTAGTCAAGGATTAAGGTTGCGGCTGGGATTAGAAGTACAATTTAGCGCAGAAAGTATGTCGGTGATGCAGCGGCTAAGCCAGGAGAACGCGTGTCATGTGGTGAGGGTGTTTGTGATGCGGGCTGCGCATCGCAAAAACGGATGCGCGCGGGGTTCTCCAGTTCCCCATCAGGCCAGGGTCTAATAACGTCATAACTAGATGCCAGACTGTTTCATGATATCAACCACCATAACACTCTCTGGCTCAATTTGATGCGATATTCGAGGCTTTTCCATGAATTTACATCTTTTGCGTCTCCATCTAAGTATGAGTTTGCATGCCCAGCATGTCATACCCCCAATTCGGACACTTGGCTGTACACAGCCACGGCCATAGCCGCACTTCCGGGCTGAAGCATGCCCCTGTCTTACATGAGCATGGTGTGACTAGGCCCAAAACTCCCCGAGATGAGGTTATTCGAAGCATGCCTTGCACACAGAATATACGCTGAATCCGAAAATTACATGTAAGACAATCAAGCCACGAGTGCTTTGCCGTCGAAATGGCTAGGCTTCGAATGGTTCAAAACTGATGGCTAGCTATTGTCGCATCTGGCAGAACTACAGGTCCTCCTTCGCTAGCATATCTGTAAACTTTATTAGAAATCAATTGTACATGGTTGGAAGGGTCGTCACTGACCGCAGATATCAAGATAAAATGCAATAGCATTAAAACTGTTTTTTGTCAGCCTTGACTCAGACTAGGTTATGAATCGCGACTTCATACTTGCGCTTGCTACCTGTGAGCTCCCAAAAGAACCACTTAAGACGATTGGTCCAATTGATCAGGTCGAGATGGCTTACACCAATCAGAGTGCCTTTGTAATCGCCCCAGCGACTGGACTGGACACTATTGAGGTGCTTAGTTGGTATTGAGCATAATGAACGCGAGCTGTATACACACCTGACTAGTCCGTCGTTCACACCCTCTTTCTGTTTGATAATGGCATGCGAAGGTGCGAAGACGGACCATCGAGTCGGTTCGAGAGACGCACCATACGAGAAGTATCTGACATCTGGTATATCTGGCGTCTTGGGGTTGAAGCTGTTCTGCATGTACTCTTGCGTGAGTTGCGAGAAGGCACCAGTCTCAAAGCCAAAGTACTCCATAACACTGTAGACACGTTTGATACGACGAGCTGGGAATGGTTTAGTGAATTTCTTCCAAGAGTGTGTCCTTGACGTACGACCGATCGTCTGAAACATGTAGTCTGCAAAGGCAGAGCCCCTATGTGGAGTGGCTATGGTGGTCAAGGAAAGTATCTTAAAGTCGGTCGGTCGGAGCTGGCTAATCATGTAACGCGAATCGAGGCCTCTGCGCATGCTTAGTAGTCGTTGTGGTCAGGTGCAGATGATCATTACCCCTATGCAAAGGTCAGCCACTACGTATTACACCATGATAGTGTAGCTCATACCATGCTATGTCTGCGAGCGATTAGCGAACTGTCACCAGTACGTTATATTCCAGTCTCGTAACTTACGCGATAATGTTAACCTGTTTACCTTTTGCCTTGACCGTAATACTCTCAGCCAGTTTTGCAGACCGCGCCTCGATGCTTCCACTAGGCGGAACTGCAGCCACGATGACCTCAATGCCCTTGTGCGCCAGTGCGTCTGTTATGCCGCGCCAGTATTGTATGCCCGGTATAAACTGCCCGGCGATTCGTAGTTCATCGAAGCCTAGTAAACCGTGGGCAAGGACTATGGTGTGTTTCTACGGGTGTCAGGAGCTGTGGTTTGGAAAGGAGTACGTCACATACAGGCGTATCTACAGAACTTTAGCTGTTGTCATGATATGGGTGCGAATTTGGCATGGATGTACCGTATTTCTCGCGCATCACGGCAAACTCATCTACGATCTCGCGACCAAAGTCTGAGATGCGCGGGTCTTCTTTGCGCCATTGCGAGCTGCTAAATTGGCGAGCCGTGTATATCGGTGAGTTTCGAAATGGCGTGGCTTTGTACGCAGACGAGCGAGTCGTCACTCGAGCACAAATTCGTATCATTGGGTGTAGCGCATTGTGTTGCGGTTTGGAGGCGCGTTGAGACTCAGACTACAAAGTTCCACAGCGGTGACGTAGGCCTGACCTCGGGAAGCTAGCGACGATCCATCGACGTGGGCCAGGGTCCGCAACGAGAGATGTAGATGCATGTCATGGATCGAGATGTGAGCCTGCCTTGAATTTCCCCGGCAGATAAAAGCAGAGATTCATACGTATGATACGACAAGCGCAGTAGAAGGGGAATGTGTTCAGAATCTAATAGTGTCTGCAACCCAACGGTGCTAGTAAGACCTAGATGCATTTGAAAACCTGATAACCGTCTTGACTAGCAAAGCTTAGGAAGTATGCATGCTGAATTTGATTACATCCACCGTACTTGCGGTAAATCGCCTGTTGCTTGTATTTCGAGGTGGTACATCGACCTTGGCTGTCTTAGGTCCATCAAAGGTCATGTACAAGGAACGCTCTTCGCCATAGGTCTCTCCCGTATCTCACTCGTCTGACTCTGTTCTCCATCCAAACTCGCCATGTCGGCGCTCTAATCCTGCTTGCCTGGTGGCTTGGGGTGCGCATTTACGACTGCTTCGATAAGTTGATCGACAACCTTGCTGCCGGACTTGTTGCCAATCTCGTCAATCTCCTTGACCTTGGCATCTGTGTCTTTCTTCGCATCTTCTTCAGCCTTCTGGTTGCCTGAGCTGTGCTGCGCCATAGTCAGCCTTGAACGTCCGTTACGTATACAGAGCATCATGTCCACCAACACACCTCCTTTTCGAACTTCTGGTACTCAGACTCCTTCTCTTTTCTGTAGTCCTCGATCTCCTTCTGTGCTTCGCTTCGGGCGTCCTTGACTCGCTTGGTACGGTCTGAATAGGTTAGAGCGCTGCTTCAGCAGGGCATGACGGGCATTGATTACATTCTCTGGCTGTTGAGAAGTTAGCAGCTGCGTCCACACAGCACTTTGGAACGCGAAATACCTTGCTGGACAATCTTCTGAGCTTCGCGCTCGGCCTAGGTGCTATGTGAGCTATGCGGAGGTTGAACTGGGCTGCGCTGCCTTACGTCGAGCAGGGTCTGGATACCCTGGGAGTTTTGGGCGGACTGTTGCTGTCAGCGAAGATTCCAGCCTACAGCTACATGTAGACTCGCCATCTTGAGTATGGTATCGTGGGGATGTTGGTTATCACAGGGTTGAGTTGCGGAGAGGCATGATGCAGCCGTGGACTTGGCGGCAGGTGCTCCAAGGCCCAAGCTCCTTCCCGCCATGGTCCCGCTCCAATTTACACAAGGCTCTTTCACCTACCTCGACATCACTCCACGGTCCCCACCATGTCTCGAGCGTCTCAGATTACCCTGGCGACTACATGTGTCACAGCGATTGGCACCGTCGCGTTTGTGCATTGGTCGCAAAAGGCCGACAAGGCAGTGAGTGTTCTAGAGTCGACATGGTCAGGCAACTATATCTGACTTGTAGCAGGCAATGCACATGGGCGTCATCCGCGATTTCGAACAGCAGCGAATCAAGCGCGAGCGACAGGCAGACTTTGAGATGCAGAGAGAACTGGAGAAGGAATATCTGAAATATCAGACAGTGTCGGATGGAGGCCCCGCCGAACCACCACACCAAGGACGATGATACCCCGAGTAAACCATATCCGCTGTACAAAGGCCGGTGAACAATGGGCACCTTGCCACAACAGACTTGCTATCCGCAGTCGCGGTCACGAAGCCTGAGGCTCACCACGTGCTCTGGCTGCGCCACCCGTTGAACCCAGACCAAGGGACCGGCGTATACACAGCCTCGCGAGCATAAACGGCTCGAGGCCTGGCTATTTGGTTGGCATGTGGAGTAAACAACATATTGGCATTCGCGGGAAAGCTTATTTAGAACGGAGGTTAGTCGTGTCGGATAGCCAAGTCGCTTGGACGCACAACAAGAAGTTATGTGAGAGAGAGACGGTCAAGCGGAAGAAAGAAGCAAGGTCGTGGAACCAAATATCCAACAATCACAAAGCGTCGTTTACTTTTCAGGCGCCCTGCGTTGTAGCACATCATGTTCTGTCACAATTGCCCAGACTTCCACTCCGGTCCCTGTTGTCAATTCTGCCACGATGCTGCCCGTTTTTCGTTATCAGGTCGTGCCAACAAAGCGCCATGTGTTTCGATACTAAGACATTCAGCGTACAAGATCCGTTATTATTTGTGCCCAACGCTGCATGCAGCGGCAATACATAAGATTGCGCTCTTGGCGTTTATTGTTTCCGCGCTATACGTCTAATGCGCCCGAGCACATATGCGCACCAATGACGGTGTTTTATGGTAGTGATTCATAGCGATTACAATGCCTCTCACTAACAAACAACATCGAGGCGCAATCGGATATTCGGCTGAGCTTGCTCCTCTGGTTTGTTGGTTCCTCGTCCTGTGATGTGTTTGGCCACACATCTGGTTCGGAAAGCATTCTAGCGCCTCGGCAGATCAGCGACCATGAGGTCATCTTCCCCGAGTAATTCGATGCGCTTGATCGTTTCGCACGTCATGAATATTGGACAACGAAAGATTCTCCGGGGGGAGGCTCAAGTTGTGGTCCACAGTGAGCAGGTATCCAACTTCGGTCTGGCAACTTGTGCAGTCCTGCGCTTGTTATAGCAGATTAACGGCGCTTCTGCGGCACCTGCTCACCGTCGCCCAAAGAGCAACACAGTTCAGCCACAAAAGATCCATACAATTTAGCCCATAGATTGGTAGGATCGCCGGCAGCTTGTCAGGCACCCAATTCAAATTACAAGGTTAGCCTTAGCTGGCAGGGTGGCGGGTCCCAACTGACCAAGCTTTACCCTTTGCCCCAGGCTTTCTTTCATGACGCAGGGCAGTGCAACCCATGTCTTTGACCGGCGTAACCTTAAAGACCCACGCCTGCCTCTTCGCAAAGTCGTACATTGATCCAACCCTATACCTAACAAGTTGCTACACAATCACAGAGCAAACTTCTTACGCTCTTCTCTCGCATACTCCACTACCGCTATAATATCCTTGTAACTCTCTCGGTATTACCTCGACCCGACACTTGGCGTTGTGCATTACATCCGCGACCCTCTCGTATCACCCTCATACATCAACTTCACCATGAAGTTCTCACAACTCCTCACCGGCCTCGTTGCCGCACAGGCAATCAGCGCCGCATCGATACCGGAATCAAACGCCCTCAATGTCCTCGAAGACCGACGAGTTGTCCCTGCCTCTGAACTTGTCTCACCAGACCATACCCTAGAGCGTCGCAAAGGAGGAGGAGGACGAGGAGGAGGAAGCAGTGGTGGCAGCAGCGGAGGTGGTCGCTCAGGTGGGAGCAGCGGAGGCGGCACCCCCGGACGTACATCGTCAACCTCGAATGCTGGTGGTTCCACAAGTGCAGGCTCAGGTCGACCGCGCACTTTCGCTGGCGGACGGTATTACGGCGGCGGCGCTGCAACACCCTACACCGCTGGTTCACGGACGCCCAAGGGACTCATTGCCGGTGCCCTGCTCCTGCCTGCTACCATGCTGCTCATCATGCCCGGTCTGTGGTTGTACAGCACCTATCCCTACCATTACAACAATCCCTACCGCTTCTACAATCAGTCCGCCACCAACGACGACAACGACAACAACAATAACAACGACCGCCGCGAATTATGGGTCCGTCAAACCCAGGGCCGCAACGAGTCTCTTCCTGTCATGTGTGTGTGCGAGGAGGGCTTTGTATGTGGTTGCGACGAGAACGATGACCAGCAGTATCTCAACGACCTTGTTGGCAATGGCAGCTATGCTGCGCTCAACAAGACTCTTGTCACCGTCTCAGATGTCAACGGTACCAAGACTCTTGTTCTCAACGGTACTCTTGAAAAGGGTACTACTGCGCCTGGTGGCTCTGATGATGACAGCGCAGCTATCAACTTGAAGGTTGGAAAGTATGCTGGGTACTATGCCCTTGGCATGATGGTGTTTGCTGGTGTCCTCATGTAAAGATACCTCAACACTTGGCTTCGTCGTTTGGAGATGTATAATATTATGATGCTACGACTGCTTAGAAGAATACTGAGGCGCTTGGAGATTTTTGTTTTTGCTTCAGAGGATCCTGTTCTCAAAGAGATAGTTGATCCTGTTGGCACTGGAGGATGATTTGGTGATACCCTCAAGTCTATTTCTTTGTTGGTATCCATCGGCTTTTAGGATTTCATTTATACGTTATCAATCCATACTAAAGATTTACCTATTACTTTATTTGCACCATATTGACCTGGCGATTCCACTTTGTGCTTTGACGTCAGCCTATCTAAATGTAAAGCCATAAGTATAGCTACAGTACATGTATATCTTGTCTAAGCTATCTGGGAATGAGTATGCTCCACTCGTAGCCGCCCTTGGCTCACTGAGAATGCCGGTTCGCTTATACTAAACGCAGGAATTCCGGTCAAGACCGTGCCGTCTCGTCGCAGATCCACATGTTGTTGCGCTTTTGTGGCACCAACATGTGGGGTACCACTGCAGCAAACACATCCGGAGATAAAGAGAAGGCGGTGTATGCCATCTATGGACGAGCCTAGGTGTGATCTGGCACTCAACATCATCGGTATTTCTGTCGGACATCTGGGGGAATCGTCGAGCATATCGTTTGCCCTATTTCCGGTGAGTGGTAACTAGGCAGTGCCGACATCGTTATAGGACCCGAGACAGTCGCCCGGTCCCAGATCTATGGAAGGGGTGGGCGAGATTGTGCGTGGGGTATTTGGCTTGATGCAAGTCAGCTGACGCGGGGTCGAAGCGGTGAAGTAGACTATCGTGTAATTGCTACTTGGGAACATATGAAGCGATAGTCGGCCTAAACAGGCAGTGCTCGCTTGCCCATGCAGACGTTTCTGCAGGATATGATAGGACTACGAAGCGCGGGTATATATCGGTGGTAAGGCTGCTCTGTCAGCTTCGTGGCGCTTGCAATATAGCATCTTCATTCCTTGGCTAACCAATCTCATGATCGATGCTGTGTTTTCTTCACTCCAGTTATGACAAACTAAAGTGTGCGCGTACGCACGTCATCACGAGTTTGTTGGAGTTTAAGGCCGAGGAAAAGAGACACCCGACGCAGTGCGTCGCATTCCGGTCTGTTGCTATATTTTGGCTGGCACCTAGAGGTAGACACGATTACATGCGAAGATTGCAGATGCGGCCGGTATAGTGTTTGCTCTCCGGAATTGTTTTGTGGTGCTGCCTATTGCCCTTGGCCCAGCTGGATTGTGGTTGTGCTCGTCGGGCTTCCCAAAGATGAAGTCACTGCTCGATTGTACGCACCATTACGATGAAACACAACAGCCTTGGTTGATTCAAGGGTCGAGCCAAGTATTGTTACACCATCACAGTCTTCTGATGAGACCAGACGCAGGAAGGGGGCCAAATGCTCTGGTAGATTGCGGGCCTAAAGTGTTCGTTCGCTGGAACAAGTAATCCTATTATGTGGCGGGTGTGACACCCACACTCTCTCGAAACGATCCCAATCATGCGAGAGAGAGCTGTGGTTGTGGTCGTGAAAGACGTGACCGGTGGTCGGAGATGCAATCGTGGTAGGGCTGCGTGAGACATGTTGACCGCCACCACGTGTTTCCAGGAAACGGGAGGATGCATAGGGCTGCATGACTGTCGAACGTTGCAGGTCAGCCTCGAGCCGCGTACCAGAGCCGGCAGCAGGGTATTCAGTCCTAACAGGGGACCTGGCGCACGCGCGCACTAACCAAAAGATTGCCGTTGGATCGACCAGACTGTTTGGATAAACTTATGACGCGAGCGAAGTATCTTGAAGCTGTCCGCATCTGATCATTTTAGCGGTGTGCTTGATCCTGGACGCAATTGAGGGGCCTTTGCATGGTCGACAGATGCAGAAAGTTACTCAGTAAGTGGTCGCGACCAATAGTGGAAGCGAACAAATAGCTATTTCGAAATATCGACGGTAGCGCTGGTGCGTCAACGCGTAGGTCTCCAGGCAGCACTCAGCTGGTCAGCCTGAAGCTCCAGGCAGTTCCACAGGCCCATGCAGTTCGACAGGATGATGGTGAAAACGGATAGCTCGCGCAGCCATGTAAAGTCATCGACTGTGCAATTAGATGGCTTGGGTTCATTGAGAGGTGATCAATGGGGAAGGGCGGAAGGACCAAGAATACCTCATGCTGCCAATTGCCCCACAACGGAATCCCATTGGAGCGATACTCCCTGCACGTGCCCTCCACCCCCAACCTCGACGTCCACGTCGTCGTACTCGCGTTCTTCTTCGCACAATAGACCTTCAGATCGGTAACAGCGCCCGGTAGGCGCAACGGGCCAACTGAGTACCTTCCAGCGAAAGCGCCGTGGTCCGCGAAGAGGCCCGAGCCTGAGTAATCGACGTCAGAAAAGTCACTGCCCCTCCGTGTCCACCGAGCCATCACTATATCAGGAAGCGTGGCTGAACCCAGCCAGCTGTCAGATACGATTAGATTCACGCAGGTATCGTGACACCTACTTTGCTAACGTCCGCACCGATTTGCGCATGAGCTATTGTGCAGTATCATGGCACGCTCACATGGTCCGCGCGCTACAGGGGTTTTGCATCCCCGGTTAGCTCCCTCCGCG